ACCTGAAAACAATTCTGCTGCTGCCTGTTCCAGAAAACTTTAATTCTCCATGCTGGACTTTTCTCCGAATGACAAATTCAAATAGACTTGTGCAATATATATCTTTTGTTTCTATTTTTGCAGTCACATTGTGCAATATGATTGTGCATATAAATAATGCTAAAGGAAATAAGAGGATAAATCAGGAGTTAGTTTTATTTATTCTTTCTTTCTGCTATCATATACAAACAGCAGATACCATGTGTTGCAACCTATTTTTTTCAGACTTTTTTTTAATTGTCAGTCAGTAATTAGAAATACTTATTTTCTCTGTAGAGGAGAATCTTACAACAGAAATCTTGTCTTGGTCAAGGTCTTTGGCCAGTGTTTTTCTGCTGTTGTAGCATTCGTTATTTCTCTATTAAGGTCTTTCTCCTTTCACTCAAAACTCATTGAAGTTCAGAAGCTGTGAGGAAAATAGTTTGAATATACCATGTGAATTTGTTTTCATGCAGGTTTATATATAAGCTGGTGTGATTCAGGATGCCAAAGGTCTGTACGAAGGCTACATAGAGAAATGAAATGTGAGACTGAGTCCTCATTTAACTGAGATCAAGTCCTCAATTTATCTTTTTGTGTTTTCAGTATACATTTATAGAGGGTTGAAGGGTACTTGCCTATGGGATTTTAGTACAGGTATAGAGGGGATGTCAAAAATAAAACTCTGTCCTTTTTCCTTGTGAGTTTTCCTTTTGTGTTCTTATCTCCTATATATCTCAGGATATACAACAATTTACTTTTCTAGCTTATCTGAATACACACTACGCATAATTTCATCACTGTTTACATCATAATAGTATAAAATTTCATGGGATAGTTGGGATTATTTAAGAAAAGCAGCATAATTGCTTAAATCGTGTCAGCAGATAGAAAGCCATTTGAAATTTGCCTAAATCCAAATGAGTGGAAAGTGGAATTTCACGTATTTTACTATTTACTGGATGGAGTAAAGTCTTGCATAGCTAATATTTTTGGTCCAGAAAAATGACCTTCAGTTTTATTGTGCCAGCTAAAATATTCATTTTTGAGCAGTGACAGAATATATACATACCATTTTTACTAAGCATATTCCATTTTTGCATAAACAAGAGAAGAAAAGGTAGAATTTGAATGTTTCATGATTCTTTTTATTGCAGGAGGAAATTATTTCTGACTGTCCAAAGCCCTTAGCATTCCAGAAAGTACTAGAAACATTTATGAAGTCATCTATAAGACTTAAAAGATATGTTGATTTTAGAACTTGTTCTGCTATATTACTTGTCTAGGTCTGAAAATTCGTCTCCAGAACTAACTATGAACATGTGCCAGGTACAAGGACTTGGCAAATACACCTTCACCGATTGTCGAAGGGGTGACCCAGAGCTTCATTACAGGCAGGTTTCAGGAGAGTAGGCTTCAGATGGTAGGCTTTGAGGCAGAAAGATTAAAGGGAAATGTTCGCCTTATAAGATATTTAAGGAAAAAAAATGTTGGAAAAAATGGTAGCTCACTGTTGGAGACATAAGCAGCATTATTCTTACACTGCTTTCTTCCTGTCAGAATTAGTAAATTGTGTCCTGCACGATTTACAATTGCACAATAAGATCCCATGCACACTCAGAATAATACAGCTTTTCATTCAGTCCTATGCCTAAAAGTGTTTGAATTTGACCTTCTGTATGGGAAATCAGAACGGTAACCCTTTGCTAAAATGCTTAAAAGAAGTGTAAGTATCATGAAGGCATTTCTCTTGAGCTGCCAAGCCAGTCCCTCGCCTTTCCCATTTATTCTTCCTTAACTGTTAACAGACAGCTTGCCCTACAACCTTATCCTGTTCTCACACTTGAGCTGAGTTACTTCTCCTAACTGGATGAGAAATACTTGACATACAGGTGAGGTGAGTCACCTTCCCAGGCATATACTGACTGATTTAGGAAGGTTCAGGTACCATGAGAGCATTTATGGGAGACAAAACTTCTCAGGGGAGCAAGACATTTAATCTGTAAATAATGGCTAGAAGTGTCTTTGCAAATCACTGTCCTGTAATGTGATTTATTTTGTTTTGCTCTTTCAAAATAACACCTGAGATTTTTGCCTGTATTTCTAGGTAAAGATATGAAATAAAGCCTTAAATACCAGTGTTTAAAGTGCTTTCATCAGGGTTTGTTTTATTGTCTAGTATTCAAATACAACATAAAAAAAAAGGCAAGTGAACTTGACTTCCTCTGTGAGCAGTTAGGAATTTCAAACCAATACTACAAAACAAGAATTTAATTACAAATGTAAAAGAAGCTTTTTTTGCTTAGTCACTGTTATCTGGCATTATTGTAAGGACCCTAAAAGCCCTAAAAGGTACAAAGGTCTTTGTGAGAATTTCTGAGCAATCCTGATAGCTTCTGCAGGACTGATATTTTCTACTTGTCTACCACAGAAAGCAACACAAGAAATTATTATAAATGGATTAATTCTTGCCTACAGGCCATTAGGATGAAATGAAGTTTTCTCATGCAATAAATAGGGCTTACATCACTCTGCCAGGATTCCAGAACCTTTAAACTAACAGCAATTTAATATTATATATAACAATGGAAATAACAGTAGGATCAGCAGCAGCTGCCCTCAGTTTACTGTGGTTCTAGTCTTCTGGTTTTTGCTTCTTAACTCTCTTCATGGGTGAAGATTATTTCTCTGGTAACATAGATCCCTGTTTTAGCTGCTTACTAAATACTTCTGCTACAACTACTATATTCATCTTAACTGGGGACTGAGCAACCACTAATGAAGAATACATGGAATTCTGACTCTAAATGGTTTACATTGGTACTAAGTTGGTATTAAAATGGTGTTTTAATAATGGAGAAGGATATAAATTTACATAGGAGGGCTTTCTTTAGCTAGCCTTTTTTAAATTTTTCTTCAGGATACTGCTTGGGTCACTGGATGTGACTTCTTAACTCAGCTGAAACGCGTCGTGGCTGTTACTGAAAGAACTGTCATCGTCTGGGACTATAAATCAAAAGGGAATCAGGTAGTATGTTGGATCAGGCAAAGATTAAGGAAGCCTGAAAAAGATTTCTCTTTGTTTTCAGCATACAATCTAACTCCTTTTGTCCAATGGGATGAAGCTCTTAAATTTGTCTTTACAGGAACTCAGTGAAACAGGGGAATTAATACAATGGAAGTTTTTTTTAGACTATGTAAAAGCTTTCTGGAAAGATGGAAAGCTTGTCTTGTTTTGTAAACAAATCCGTAGAGCAATTTGTGTGTCTATGTATATCTAATGCATCTGTGTGAGAATGTATATCTAATGTGTGCATATCTGTATACATATATAAGAATCTATTATTTGAGAGTCAGGGGACAGGTCTTCAAAAAGAATTTAACATACAGTCCTTTGGGGTAACTTCCCAATGTAAAGAAAATCTTCCTTCTTCACATCCTGCATTATGCTCAGAGCTTTCCAAAAGCAAAAGCATCTTGATGTTTAGGTGTATGTTCTAGCAGTTGAAGTTTTCTTGAAAGCCAAGAATTTCTGATTCATACCTTGGCTTTTCCCTTGTGTTCTGCTTTTTTGTTTTGTTTTGTTTTGTTTTGTTTTCCCAGCTGAGAAGATGAGATGAAGCAAAATATGCACTTTAAAGGATAAAATTGAGCCTAACATCTTTTTCTTTGTTGTCTTAACATTTGAAGACCTGTTCCCAAATTTATATAAATCAATGGAAATCTTTTTGTTAATTCTATGAAACCTCAAAAGGAAGGCTCAAAAATGCGTCATTATGGAGGTTTCTCCCAGTTATTATATCAATGAGAGCTGAGCCTGCCCTGTGGCTGAATAGGAGCAGTTATGTTTCAAGACAACAAGAATAATACATAGACAGCCCTATATCTGTGCTGATTCTTTTCACCATTTCTGATCTATCTGCTCTCCTGCATCCTGTTGTTTTACTTGCTGAGTTGTGGTATGCAGAGAACCATGAAGCAATTAATGCCTATGTCATCTGAAATGCTGCCAGGTTAGGCTGGCAAGGATGCTTTAGTCACATAACAGATGGAGTCAGGCAGTAACAGCAATGCAGTGGAATACAAATGACCCCGAATTCCATTCCCGACCTTCTCCATGTAGTACAACACCCAATGGCTTGTACTTACATTCATTCTCTCTATCTCAGTTCCTGTAAACCCAGACACCTGCCCATGTGAGTACTCTGCTACTAACCAGGACTCTGGCATAACTTTTATGCGTGTGCTTAGACAGCATTTTATTTTGAGCAGGATGGATCCTACTGTCTTAACAAAAAATATAGTTCCACTTAATGTGGTGAAATCTTCCCTAAAATTTGTGTTTATTTTTTTCCTCACTCAAATACAATAGGCTGTGTATGAAATAAAGCCAACTTAAATCCTTGAATTTGTTTGCTTTTAACTTCACTCAGTGATCTTCTTCCATGAATTTCTAATACCAGAAAACAACTATTATAGAGGCATTTTGAAAAGCCAAAGATAAGATTTGGATGCTGCTGAAAGTAGATAAGTATGATATTTTCAGTCTATTTAAGGGCTTGTGTGCAATATCTGATAAACTTATTTCCTGTATTTCACAGAGTAATTGCTTTGTCATCAAACCAATGGAAAATGGTCTGCTCTGTGTTTGCACGGTGACTGCATCAGATCATCTGGCTAAGGATAACATCCTAATGGGAGATGATGGGGGTTATGTCAACCTGCTTACAGTGACCAGTGATGACTTTGGATTGAAACAATCTAAATCTAAAAAAAAATCGCAATTTCACGTCTTGGACTCCAAAAATTTTAAGATGTAGGTGGCTTATGATAAAATATTATCAGTCTGGCAGTTTTTGTTAGATTTGGGTTTTCTCTGACCTGAATGGAGGATAAGTGTTTGCTTATAAATTAAGCCCATCTAATAAACAAAGAAAATAGTTTTTAAGGCTGCAGTGAGTATAATTTGCTTATTGTTGTGTGGAAAAAAGCATCATTTTTAATGAGAGATTTTAGTACAGGGAGACTGCAGATTAGGATTCCAAGGAAGAGTTCACAATTGCGCTTGTCCAGTTTGGCATAGGCACAGCTCTACTGTGTCTTATCAAATGGAAGCATAATTGCTATTATAATGGGGCATGATACAACCCTAACCTTATGTGTGCTCTAAGATCTGTTGGCTTTTAAAGCGCAAGAACAGTTCTGCATCTGCCCTGGATGTTAATTGCAAGCATTTGTTGTATATAATCTCACCGACAAAATCCCTACCCAGCTATGGACATATTACACAGAATGCAATATATCCTAATAACCTCTCAATTTATATCCCTAGTGTTAAACGCAAGCTGCATGATGACTGGGTTATGAAGGTTAAGTATATTTCTGACCTGAATTGCTTTGGATCCTGCTCTATAGACAGCATACATTCGTTTGTTTTGGGTGACATAAAGCGACTAGAGGACAGCATGTAAGTATATGGAGTGTTCTGAGAAAAGACTTTCTGCTTTATAATGCTTCATGAGATTAGCACCTTGCCAATCCATCCTGTTGTATTGAAGTTGTCTTTTGTAAAGCATTGCTAATATGAACTAAGATACAACTACTTAAATACTACAATATTTGTACTTTGTTAGCTTTTGATGCAGGAAAGGACTGTCCTTGTGTTCATTTCTCACAGGTCTTAAGAATAAATTATGCTGTCAGGGTAGTCTGCTTTACTGTTTCATCATCAGGCACATTTTAGTCAATATATTGCTTTTGTACATGTATACTATGTATAGAATTATTTTAAAATTATGTCTATATATATTCAAATAAGTTTCAAGTTAAACAAACTTAAATCAAAATAGCAACTTCTCCTGAGGTCTGCAAAGCTGAATTTACCATGCATCAGGCTGTGGCCTCCTTATCTGCGCCATATTCTTGTTCATATAGCTCTGTGCTGTAGCTGACTTCAAGTCTTGCCAGCATGTGACTGAAGTATGTAGCCCATAAAGAAATAAATAATACATACAAACACTGTGTTATGTAAAAAGGAACTATAAATAATATTTATGTAGCCCTTTTCATTCAAAGATCTCAGGGCATTTTCAGCAGTAGATCAACTTGACAGTTTCTTTGCAAGGTGTGCCCAGAAATTAATAGTTTTTTAAGGTTAGTGGCAACAATTATGATCACTTTTCTTATATTTTGTATAACATGAGCCATAAATGTTCACATTGTAATTCTTGTATCAATCCAGGAACTTCAGATTTTATGAATATTGTATATCTGTTGTGGACAGGGGAAGTGAAATATGAAGCAGTTATAGCTTGGTCAAAGTCAGGAGAAAAGCTGAGAAATCCTATCTGAATTTCCTGTGGATTTTGGAAGAACAGATTTAATCTGAGGAGAAGGAAAGCAAAGACCAGAGAGCTAAAATTATAGTCAAAAGGTTATATGCTACCAGCACACACTGTTTGCTAGACATTAATACATTAACTGAAAATATTTTGGTAGATCTTTGTCATTTAACGCTGATTATAATTGTGTCTCCAGTTACAGTAAACACATTTCTCTAAGGAGTTTCTTACTGAAATTAAATAAAGTTACATTTAGACAACTGATGAATCACACTGTTGTTAAAATGAAATTAGTAGCCCTAAAAATATCTATTCATCAAATCGACTTCAGTATGCCCATTGCATAAGTAATTGTGGTTCAAATATATGATTAACTGATGAAAACAAAATATGTTTCCTCAATTAGCTATGCAGCAAGCAATTATTATTTTGATTGGAAATGTAGTCAATGTATTTTGTCTCCTGCGCAAATGTTAAGTTTCTCTGTGGATGATGGCTGGCAAGCACTTATAATCTTTCCTATTAAAGTGTTGAAAAAGGGGGAAGCCAGGCTGTGATTGTAAGGGGCTTCTCTGCAAGGCTGTGACTTGAGCAGGGCTTCCCCTTGCTGGAAGCCATTATTCACAGTCATTAATTAAGGAGCAAGTAGAAAGTTATACAAAATTATTTGATTTAAGAATTAAAGGAAAAAGATTGCAAATACTAACAGAATCTGATACTTACATGTTGAAGACTGTTACTTGCTATTTTACATCATCGAAATACTGAAGTTCCTCTGTCAGAGGAAGTCTTCTTAGAAAGAAGACTTTGCCACCTCTTAGTAATAAGGAGCGAACAGTCTTTTATTTATTCCTGCCTACAAAGAACAAGCCTTTTACTTAAACACTGAGGTCCCCAAGTTTCCAGAGTCTTTTGTCAAACTTACGCTCATTCCCAGTTACAGTTTGCATGATTCATGGTTACTCTCTAGCCCAGAGTGAATGAAATACCTGCTTGTCTGGATTTTAAGGAAAAAAAAAAAACTATTTTTTAATTTTCACCCATTTTACTTTGTATAATTTAAGTACACCGACAGTCTCTGTTTCCTGGCTGAGATGGCCCTTAGCCATGTAAGTGCTGAATCCAGAACTCAAAAACAAATATTTACCTTCTAGCAATGGAGAAATGTGGAGAAACAAGCAGAGATTGCACAAAGGATGAATTTGGAAGGGACACTGAGTCAATCTTAATCTCTGTTTGCTTAGTTTGAATGCTGTTTCTTTTGCAGTATTTTCTCAATAATTCTCTTTAAGTTTCAGAAACATGCAGTTTCTTCATGTTACTATCCAAAACAAAGTAGATAAAATTAAGGCTATGCATTATACCATGTATTATACAGAAGCAGCAGAAAACTAATTGCATTTGTTTTATGTAAGATAGAGGCCAGAATAGACTTTAGTGTCAGAAATATGCACAGGCAGTTGGTTTTAAAGCAGTAATGAACTGCTTTACATATGCATCAAATGACTTGTGTGAAGGCTTACTTTGACAATAGCTACCATTTTAGGAGTCTGTCTGGAGTATGACTGATAAAAGATTCATCTGTTCATTTCAGAGATTTATTATTTTAATGGAAAGTGTACCATGTTCTATTTTATTGATGCTAGTATCTAAGTCACTGTTATCAGTCAATTTGCTTTTAACATTATACTGTATATATTATACAAACATAACAGTATTCTAATATAACAGTATATATTGTATATATGCATAATATAGTCTATATATCACAGAGAAGTAAAGTGCAAGGATTGTAGACTGTATTTCTTAACACTTTCTACCCGATTAACTACTTTATTAATGATTACAGGCCTGTAAAGGAATTTTCTGTCCCTAAAGGGGTCAATGCCTTCACATTCTGTGGAAAATCAAATGTCATCGTCACTGGAGGTAAGTACCAGGCTTACACAATCTATGAAGAAAGTTGTTTTTTTGCGAGAGATTTTTGTGTTGTGATTTCTTTTTCAGTTAGATAAGCTCAAGTAAAAGCTGGATTAGTATGTTAGCAATTTAATGGCTTCAGTCTTAAATGATAGGGAACAGAGGTCTTGTGCTGAAATCTAGGCTTTGAAGTGGTATGGCTCTTGACTGGAGTCTGTCAACAGTTTGCTCTACTGTAGTCTGGATTCAATTTAAGTGTCACACAATATGTATAATATACCAAGAGAAACAGGATGATGGACTACTCTAAGACACCATTCCCAGCCACACCAGAGCTGAGTGGAGGGGCAGGATCCCCTCCCTCGACCTGCTGGCAACACTCCTCCTGATGCAGGCCAGGATTGTATTGGCCTTCTTGGCCATGAAGTCACATTGCTGCCTCCTGGTTAACTTGTTGTCAACCAGGACTCCTGAATCCCTCTCCACGGAGCTGCTTAATAGCAGGTCAACCTCTAATCTGTACTGGTGCCTGGGTTTATTCCTCCCCAGATGCAGGACCCTGCACTTGTTGAACCTCATGAGGTTCCTCTCTGCCCAACTCGAATTATCAATTTTCCAGTCTATTCCTGAAGAATAACATTTACATTGGGTAAATTTGGAATTCCGAATTTTGAATTGGGTTTCTGTCTGGCTTGTTCAACCCCTAGTTATCATCTTGACATAATTAGGCATCCTCCTACCTCTCACCCTCATTTGCACTGCTCAGTCCTGCTGCTTCCCTTGAACACAGAAGGAAATTATTTCTGAGCTGGATTAATGTGTCACAGGAGAGAGATGGAAGACATGGCCAAAGACTGTGAAAGGGCAGAAACATCCTTTTCAAGATCACTGTGGAGTTTAGGTCAAGCGATGTCTTTCAAGAAGCTGTACCATGAATTAAGAATCTAATCCTTCAGCTTTTGAGACATCCATCCTCCAAGGATGTATCTGGTAGGATACAAACATTTAACTTTTACATTATCAGGAAGCCAGTGACCAACTCTACTCATTCAGAAATTTAGCTTTAGAGTTCACTGCTTTATGAAAAAAATACACTGATCAGAATGACATAGCAATCAGCAGGACTAGTGTAAACTGTTCCTGGCTCTGTATCTTAAAACCTGTCCCTCTCTCTCTCTTGTCTAACTGGTGATGATCTAGTCAAAGAGTGGATTAAACCGTTTCAAATGATCATAGGTGACTGAGTCATTGCAGCCATCACCTGCAACTTACATTATCTGTAGTGTATACTAAAAAGAGGAGCACTTAAGTGATCTAGGAATCACAGTATGTAGATTTCTTGATGGCATGGGCAAAGATTTGTAAAAACTGTGTTTACACATCACATTCTGCAATAAGACAAAAAAAAGCAGGACTACTTCTCATGTATTCAGCAAGGATTCATTTGCTATTGGCTTTTTCTGAGCCCCAATATTTCTTATTTACCCACATATGGTAAATCACAAATGGTATGCAAAATACTGCATGCTACAACATATTTTTACACTGGGAATTGCCTATGAGAAAAAGTGCAAGTTCTAACTCCCCTACTCTTCCATCACATTTATTTAGTTGCATTTGAAAAAACTCTTGAGTTTCTGTCAGAACAGGGGACTGAACTACTGTGACACAGCTTAATTTTGCCTTCTAGCCATTTGACATTTATAATCATGAATAAGAAGTAAACTCAAGACAGAGTTTATTTTTCATGATGAAAGCTTATGCCTTTTGTGACATAAAATATGCATCCCACAGTAGTTTAGAGCAAATTTTCTGTGTAAAGTTTTGTATTAGTATTAATACTAATGTTGAAGTGATATGATTATCCTCTTACTCTATTCCCATTTGAATTCCAGTGTATATTAATCATCACTTCAGGGAATAGCTACATCTAGATACAAATTATATAGGCATATAAAAGGAGAGGTGATCAGCTTTAAAATATATAATAAATCAACTTCTAACATCATTAATTTTTCAGATTCCAGCTATTGTTCTCCTGTGAAAAATACAGAACCAAAGCTATAAGTGATTTCTAAATCTAGCAGTAGTGGTTTAGGACTGATAAAAGCAAATGCTGTGCTCATTCAGTAACCTTTGTGTAATCCCAGCATAAGTCATAAGTGAAGTAGCTCATACTCTTCTTCTTTTTTTTTTTTTTTTTTTTTTTTCCTTTACTGGCACTGAAAATTAGCAATGATGGATTCCTATATTTCCGGGAATCCTAGTTTCCTTGGTTCCTAGATGTCCTAGTCATCCAAGGTCTCCAATAACGCTCACCTGCATAAGCATAGGAGAAAGTCTTTTCTATGGTGCATTCTAAATTTAAGAAGAACACATGAATGCAGACAAGGGAGCCCAAAGAAAACAACAGAGACATCAGTCAGTATGATAAGGACATAAACTTGTGTTAGCTTGCCAGATGTCTATCTGTTCTGAAGTGGTTTTGCAGACATCAGTAACAAAGGATATTTTTAAGTCAGGCTTGGAGGAATGAGAGTGAGGTCTTCATTAAGGAGGTAAGGAGGTCCTCAATAAGAGGTCCTACTGTGTGTGAGAAGTAGCATGGAAAGATAACTGGAGATGTATTTTTCATTTTTAGTTTATCAGTGAAGGCTAAATTAAGTCTGAGTTTTCAGTCCAAAAATCTCGTTGGTCTGTATGGTCTTTTAAAACCATGAAAATGCAGACATGTCAGTAGAACTGTACTGCACAATTTACAAAACTATTCAGCAAGGGAGACAATTTAACAAAGGATGAAGGATCACGCTTTCTAAGAAAGTTATGGAATCCTTAACATCTAGCTAGAGCTGAGCTGTGGTCATAAAATCTGTCTTTAAAAAAAACAAAGTACATGCTTTCATTTTTGTTTCTCTTGGAAGGGAGTACACTGAATGGAGCCCACCATGATTCAAAGAACTGGTTTCACAAAATCTTAAGTATTAGCTGTTTGTTATTTAGACAGTTAATGCATCTTCTTCAAGCTTTTCTTGAATGTGCTTAATGCCCATTCCATGTCAGGATTTTCAATGCCAGAGGCATACTTGGAGCACAGAGAAAATAAATGTTCCAGCACATGTTCCAGTGAAGCAGTAAAGCAGTGAATGTCTGTCTTAACAGCTCTTAGGGCAGGATGAACACATGGCCTTGCAGTGCCAGGGCCAATCTGGCATTAGTTCAGACAGAAAAGAGAGAACACTCCAACTATAACCAACTGCGCTATTATCTCAGCATCAGGAAAAGGAACAAACTAATCGACCATTTCACAAAAGCAGCAAGCAGAAGGGCAACAATATGGCCTGCCTTTTTAATCTGACCTTTGCTGCATTTTCTTTCCTAATGACAGTTGTTCTGCATGATTATATCTTAAGTAAATAACTTGTATTAGTGATTCTATTCTTAAAGAAAATCTCTGTCCTATAGTTAAAGGGCAATATCCTCTCCTTCCTTTATCTGCCATCACCTTGAGGAAGTAAAGAACATACCAATTAGAAAGGCTAAGGAAGATCTTGTACCCCAGAAACACAGCAAGGAGACAGTTAAATTGACCAGACACAATCAACAGCCCCCAGGACAGCATCATTTTAAGACATTACATTTTCCTTTTGGGCCTGTCAAAGAGCACACTGTTGAGGCACTCTTTGTTCTCTCTGACGCTATAACTCATCTCACCAGTCTCACTGGTGGCTCCTGTCCACCATATGTCTTCTTTTCATGTTGTCTTCCTGGAAGATCTGCAAGCTGAGTTTCCTCCCATGATCTATTTTTTCAGTAATGTAATCTATTCTGGTCACAAGGGTTCTGCTAACTTGCAGGGCATGTCTACAACAGCCTGGCACAGTATCTGGGAAAGTGAGCAGGGACCTGTTGTGCCACAAATATGACCATCCAAAAGGGCTTCACAAACTCCTTGTGTGATTATGGCCTATTAAAGAGAATTATTGCCATACTAACAGGATAGACAGATAATCTGAAACAGTTTTGCCTCAAAGTGCTCCTGAAGGCAATTAATTCCCTTTGAAGATACTGCCAATCAGTTGCTTACTTTAAGAGCAACTAATTTCTCTTTTAATTTAGAGAGAGACTACATGAACAATAGAATTAACTGAGAGGACGGTAATGGTTGATGGAGGAAAGGGGAGATGGGGTGCTCCTAAGTGAATCACATCTTGCTATATTAAGAAGGAAATGGCTAGATATATCTCTGCAGAGAGAGGGTTGAGCAAGCCTAAGGAAGGTCTATGAAGAGCAGACTGAAAGAGCTGACCTTTAACTGCTCTCCTTGTTAACAAAACTGAATTGAGGTTCGTGGTCATGAGTCTGAGTGCTATGTGCTGTGAATGTTCTTCTGACGTGTGTACTTCCCAGTGTATACATTCTGGCTTCTGTACTTCACTTTAAGCTGAATGCCTCAAAGCAAAAGCTACGTTAAATGTAGCTGTTTTATCTGTTGTGTGTCAAAGTAGTTAGGTTTTAAACTGCTTGGCTAATGCAAGGCTGAACTTGTACAGTACTTAAACATGAATAATAGAATTGCAATATTTGCCTGGAATCTGGTGTTAAAATATATAATTTAAAATGGGCTCAAATTCTCTTATAACAGCACATTTTTCAGTATACCATTATAGCTGTGAGTGCACCAGTATGTAAGGAGTTTACTGATACATTTTTACAATATTTTTGTTTAACAAAATTAAAAAATATGAAAATTATTATGAAAATAGTACCAAAGGTCTCCCCTATAATGCAATTAAAGGTGATACCATAAATTAAAAAAAAAAAAAGTTTCAGAAACAAACAGATATGGAAGATCAAATTCATATTTACCATGAGACACAAAATCTCTCAGCAGAAGTTAAAATCCATCACCGGCAGTTACTGTGTGCATTTTGCCCTCAGCTTTCACGTGTTCATCCCTTCCTGTTCTTCGCAAGAACCTCCTTCCATTGGAGGCTGCCATTCCTTATTTACTTGGTTACACAAATCATTATTGGACATCATTATTATTTTGATCCTTTTCTAAATCAAATCTTTGGAGGAAAAAAATCAGATCCTCAAATCTATGTTTAATGGAAACATTCTGTTTTTATGGGAATAGAGCATGTTATCACAGCCTGTGCCCTTAGGCACTCCTCTGATAAAGTTAAATGTTTTTGAAGTACAAATGAGTTCTGTGTGTTTTAATGCAAGTATGGGAAATAAGTGGTGAAAAAGGTCCAACTGTAAGCTGGAATGAAGCCCTTAGAATGAAAAATTCTCATCCTTGCATGGGAGTTGCCTACGTAGTGAAAGTAGAGATTTGTGGCAACTAGGCTCTCCATTAAGAAGCTAATTTATATCTGTGACTATTCAGTCTTTTGCAAAAAATTATTTTTTTCTGTCAGGTGATGATAGACTCCTTCGTATATGGCATCCTAACATTAATACTAAGCCTATAGGAAAGTTATCAGGACACCTACATAGTGTCGTGGAAATCGTAACAAATGAAAAAGATCAGCATGTCATCAGCCTTTCCTCTGCAAAGGTAAGATGCTTTGCCCTTGACTTCATGAAAATCAATGTGCCAATGCTTGTAGCAATGTGCACTTGATTTACAACTCAAGTTATTACCTGAGTTGGTGTCTGGTCCTAATCTCACTGTTTATCTGTTGATTTCATTAAAAAAGAATATGAATAGCAGATATTAACATTCTGATAATTTCTGTGTTACTTTGATATCTCAAAATTAAGCCATAATGTACATGAATTACTCATTCAGTAGTGATTATCTGTAACTTCCTACAGGTTCATCTACTCTTCTTTATCCCTGTCATCCTACTAAATCCATAGGGGAGTTTTTCTTACACTGACCATTCTATAGACCATGTTCAAGTCTTGACCTGTGTATGAACAATGTCTACTACGATGTTTACTAATTCGAAACTTTGTCCATGAACAAGAAAACTAATAAAATCAATAATAAAATGTGTTCCAAAAGTGCCACAAGGTTCTTCTGGAAATGAATGTGTTTCTTTTATTTCATTGGTGGAATCTTGACATCAATGATTTATTGTATTTGGCAAATTGAATCTACCTGGGAGAGAATAAAAACTTCTATGAAAAATTGCAAAACCCGGTAGAAAAGTAGCCAAAGGAAGAGTTCTTAAAGGCTGTGGGGCTCTTCCAAGAATGGTCCTATGCAATATTTTCAATATGCAGTATTATTCAATATTTTCATTAACATCTACAATGATGGATTAGAGAGTATGCATACTAAATGAACCAGTTGACCTGAACTGGAAAAGGGTTGCAGACAGTGGGCAGAAGTATTAGAATTCCGAATGCTCATTAAAATTGGAGATACAATGTATGGAAAAAGTGAATTGTCCCTTATAAGGCAATAAGGACCTAATAAGTTATATATTTAGATGTAAGACATAGCTGAACGAGCCTATGTTGAACAAAACTCTCTAAGCAACAGTGCTGCAAGGGAAGAACCTGAGGGTTACCGAGGATTGCAGTGGAGCATTAGAATGAGTCAGTCAGATCCTGGAGTGAAAAGGCAAGTGCAATACAGGGAGGTATCAACAGATGTATAGCTTACAGTATATACAAAGTGAGCTGTAGAAAGATATAGAAACTGTGGCGAGCTGTTTCAGGCACTGCATTTAGTGAAATAGGAGGGCAAACAGGAAGCATTTCAGATCAGAAGTCTCAAACGTGAGGTAGAAAGAGATAAATATGTATAGTCTAGCAAACAGAAGACTGAGAACTGTGGGAAAGAAGAGAGTGTTTTTATAGATATGTGCAGTTCACAAAAAAAATCAGTCTACTGAGATAACTATCTGTCTCAAGATAAAAGGTTTCCCGCTTTTTGTTTTGTAGGGAGTGTTATAAAACTCTATTTAATGTGTTGCTTCTGCTCCTCTGCCCATAATTGCTTACAACTGCTCCTTTTGTTGCTAATAAGGATTATACTTTCATGTCTTTACCTGTATTTTTAAAATAGCCTACACCCTGCTAAAAGTGCTACTGAAAAGAAGTCCTAAGTCTCACATCTTCAGATCATCCTGGAGCCCCCTCTCCCTCCCATAAATCCTTACATGCACTTTCCCTGCAGGCGTACATTGCTGCTGAATTAAGGAGGTTTTTGACAGATAGCCTACAAGCTGTGCATATAGGAAAAAATAGCATAAGACATTAAACATGACTTAAGGGGAATGAACATACCTAAAGATATTTATAGAAAAATTATTATGAATGAAGAGCCCGGGGTAGATAAATGATCATAAGATCTTTTGAGTCCCTTGCTGGGCCTGCCTATGATGCAAGAGGCTAGCTTAAGAAGGAAACAAAATCTATTTTACAAGTACATGCTTGCTCATATCTGATCTTAACTATAAACGGCATCAGTAACAACAGTTGTACATGAAACTGAATCTGTGAAGGTATGTTGTAATTGAAAGCTAGCTATGTGTCTTTAGGCAGCACTGTTAGTTATAAGGCGGATATTAAAACATAAAAAGAAAAAAAGAGATATGACAATAACAAATTAAAAATCTGATAAATGATGAAGCTTTTAAAAGTCAGGTGTATTTTGTGGTCATAATTGAAAACTATAAGAAAAAAGTAAGAATCCCTCATAGGAAAGACTAAAGGACTTTATTAATAAAGTAGGTATCTCTCTGAGTCCCAAGCAATTTACAATTTATAGATGATTTATGTGCTATACACAACACTGAAGAAAGGTCTTCTATAATGTGCCTGCTTCCAATACAGTTAAAACACATTTGTCCTTGTCCATATAGAAAAATACTATACAAAAGTGCATAGCCTCTCAGAAAACTTTCAACATAAGTTAAAAACATCCTTTGTTTCCTACAAAGTAACTGAGGCCAACTTGCTTTTTAAGCTACCTAGCAAAAGGGAAATCAAAAAAGTTTCTCTATTACGTTTTCATCTTTCAATAGCTGTAGTGTAGAAGGTGTAACAGGGAGAGCCTATACATGACTGAAAAGTTAATAAAAAAAGAACATTTCCAAGGAAGAGTTGCAGCCAAGGGAAACAAAATCTTTTTTTGTGTTCAACAGATTTTGCTTCACCTTTGATGGAGTAGCACAGCTAGAGAAATACTTGGAAAAATTAAATTAAAATATTTTCTGGATATTCTCCAAATAAATATAACCTAAAATCTTGTAATTGTTATATTGCCACATTTGAAGGCTCAGACTAATTTTGTTTTTTTCTGGCTATTTTTCTTGAACTATTTTAAATTTTTTTCTTGACTTAGTATAAAGATTTTTATGTTACAAAAAATGCCTAGCTTCTAAACTACATCTAAAAGGCAAGCTTAAGCCCAGTGCACTAAGGAAATCTCTGTTCCTTAACGTTTTTTGACAATTCCTTAACCTTTCTTCTTTGACAGAAGAAAGACTGTGGGGTTTTCCCTGTCACTTCCAAGTTTAATACTCTGTTATTCAGGTAAAGATACATACATTCACAGAAAGAAGTCTATCTCACCGTAACTTTAGGTTAGGCATTCATTCTTGCTTAGTGGTAAAGCTCCCCCTATGAATAATGAAAAGAGATACATAACTCTAGGGCCCCTTACTTTGCCCTCAGTTAGGAGGGAGAAGAAATCAGCCTATAGATGTTTCTGTTTCTTTCCACCAAACCTATATGACTAAAATTGGATGAGTTAAATCTGACTCACAGTTCAGATTAACCTACACTCTTGGGTAATTTTAATGTATCCTATATATATGTATCCTTTTACAACCACTTACAAATTAAATATGTAGAATTCTGCATGAAATTCAGCATGTCCACCAACTCCAAGAGTGCTCTTTTGGACTCACTGGAAAAAAATCAATTTTGTTGCCATGTGAGTGAGGCCAAGATTTCACCAAGCATTTTAAAAATACTAGATTGCTATTAGCTAGAGGTAGTATGTAAACTTATGGTGAAGAAGGCAAAGAATGATTAATGTATCTGTGTCCTCATGCAACAAACACTACATGCAGTGGGGTCTACTTAGAGTAGGCAAGGCTCATATAATATTATAAAAATAAGATGCTAATATTCACCGTGTAGGTAGGGTCACCCCCAGGAAGAATGAATTAATAAAACAGTAGTTGGAATATAATTTTGAGTGACAAAATTGCTTTACCAAAAAGGAAGAAAATCGCTACCTCCCTCATGAGGTCTGAAGCTTCCTATATTTCATAGACAAATGACTTCTCATCTTTACTTGTTGAAATAAAAATAGTATCATATTTTAGATCAAGGACGATTTTCTTTTTAAAAAGGTATATTTAGAAAACATGTGTTTAGAGAAGCGCATCCATTTACATGGAATTTTAAAGTGCCTTCTGCTGTATCCTGATAGCTAACCTTTTAGATAGCTCACTTTAAAAATGAAGATAGCTCTTTTTTTTTCAGGAAGAGAAGTATTTTGATAAAAGTCTAAGGATATATTGTGAATGCTTTAGAAGGGAATAGGCAGTGAAATTGGTCCAGAAAAAAAAATAAACACCTTGAAAATTAATTTTTCTTTTTTTAGTACAGAGGCTACTTCATGCTGAACCTCATTTGCTTTTGATGCAGGAATATAATGAGTTTTCTTTGATCCTGATATGCTCTTATGTTGACAATTGTTATTGTTCACAGAATAACAATTTAACTCATAAAAAGTTTTAATATTGAAACCCCTTTTGTCTGACTTCAGGTCATTTTACTAAAAATCAACATGAAAGTGTCCTTGTTCTCTCTAAAGTCAATGAGCTCACTGACATTAGACAGCAAAGCTAAGTCAAATACTCTCAGTATTCTAGTAGATTTTCTTTTATAATAGTATATAAAACTAGACAAAAACATTGTGGTTTTTAATCAATATTTTGCTCCATTTGCCAAAGTTAATTCCCATGGATCTTTTGTTCAGAAAGTAGTAAAGTTTTCTTTGCTTAATTTTATGGGCTGGACACCTGTGTGGATTTCAGAAGCATTAGAAACCTTAAATGCAAGTTACTTCTTGTACTGTCTAGACCTCTCAGAAATGCTGTAAATTTCTGTGAGCAGAATTTTTCCATTTCCTTTGAGAACTGATGAGATGTGAATGACAATAGGAGCTTCTTCCCAGTCAAAGCCGGTATCTTAATTCTCACCAGGCAAAAATTGTCCTTATTTTCTGAAATAAGTGATTGTAATGAGACTGTTATAGTTGCACAGGTGGTTGACCATAGATTCCAGTGAGGAGAGGCAAGGGCAAGATAAAGGGAATTTTTTATGTCATAGAAGAACAGTATGAAGAAAAAACTTTTATAATACAGCAGATGGATGTCTCACTATTTTTAGCTGTTCTTTAGAGGATTTGAGAAATGAAAGATACACAAATGATCTATTTAAAAAGATAAGCATCCATACTAAGACCAGGAAAGTGGACATTATTCTCAGTAGTTTAATTATCTAAAAATACTATTAAAAGCCATTTTACTTTTTTTTTTTTTAACAGGGCAAACTAAGAATCAAAGAGAAAGTTTAAGTCTA